TTTCATGAAGTTTCAACCATGTAATCAAATCTAGTCTACAATTATTTGAAACATAACTCCATCCTAATTTATGCATGCATCTATCCACAAGAAAATCATATAATATTTTAGTATTACAAATTACAATTACAAAAATAAACTAAAACCGTTATCCTCACTCAAGTGGCTGCTCATGAAACTGTTAAAGAGGGTTTTTATGCTTTGGTCCCTCGAGTTGTTGCCAATGATGTCTTTGATCATTATTTTTTTTGGCTCTTATTATTTCATCCTTGGAGGCTTGGTTATCAAAGTTTTGTCTGGTCAGCATTCTTTGCCCACTGCCCCACTCGCCTATGCGATGCTTTGGAGCTATGCGTCCATTGCCTTGATGCTCCTGTGAGATTGATTTATATATAATGGGTTTGTAAAATAAAACAAAGTTTAGGGTATAGCATCAAAATCTATATTAATATGTTTGATATTATGATAATTTTTATGCTTGTAGTTTGAAAAAAATTATTTCATGAAAAATATTTCTATTTGAAGTTGATTTAATATTTATATATGTTTGGTTAAAATTACAGTTTAAATTGATGTTAAATAAAAAGTAGTTTAATGTAGTTGGTTAAACATATTTTTCAAATTGAGGTTATAAAATAAATAAAAAAGATATATATTAATTCCCTTGGTTTTTTAATTTAAATATTATAGATTTAACTATCATTATTATATCATTAAATAAATAATATTTTATATCAAATATTTTTAATTATTTTATTAACTTATTTATAATTTCATCATGTATAAAATTCATTTGATAAAAACTATAGTGTTCATGATTTTTTAAACGTACAATAAAATTAGGTAAAATATCATTAGAAATAAAACTAAAATTGCGATGAAATTTTACAAATGCTATGTCATCGTATAATCTCCTTTTAATTTATATAATATTATGAAATAATATTAAATACTAATTTTTAAATAAAATATAATTAAAAAAAAATTAATTTTGAATTGAAGGGCGTGTCTGCTTTTTTGGCAAAGTCAGCATTTCTTTGCCGTGTATGATTTTCTTGTTCTTATCAATGCTTTGGAAATCATTTTCTTTATTCCTTTCATCATTTTAACTCTTCTTCAAAGCATAATTTTTCTTGTTCTTGTCAATAGCTGTTTTCCTTATTCCCGCTATCACATGCAGTGTTGATAAAGCAATAGTTATTAAACTTAATTTAAGATTGACTTTTTTAATTAATTGAGTTTTACATTATATAAGTTGACATGAATTAATATACAAAAAAAAAAAATTTAAGGTTTTAATAAATTATATAAAAAAGTTTTAAAACAATACATATCTGTCAATATAAATTATATATAAAAAAAGCTTAATATAATTATTTTACATTAAAAAGTTAAAATAAAATCTATGTCAATATAAAATATATATAAAAAAGAAGAATTGTAAAGTATAATATACTTCTTCTGTGTTAAAAACTTGAGAAATAATCCACATAGATATAAACTATATAAAAAAATAAAGTTTAGTATAGTTTTCCCATATAAAAAAAATGGATATAGGCTATAAAACAATAAATATAAAGTTGTAGCATTGTTAATTCATATTAAAAAATTAAAAATCAATTCATATGGATGTAGACTATACAAACTTATGTCACATAAATAAGTTAGCAAATAATTTATGTGATGTAAGTTATTAAAAAAATATATAAGGCTAAGTATTTTTAAATTAGATTTATAGTTTTTATATTTATTAAAAAATAAAAAAATATATAAAAATTAAATCTCACCTAAATTATGATAGATTACTCGGGTTTTGAGTTGATCCAATAAATAACCCAAGTTTAACCAGACTAATTATAAACCCGAGTTTTTCTGGTTTTTTTCCTTGGCCGTTGACTTTTCCTGAGTTGTTGCCACCCTCAACTCGGCAGCTACCGAGTTATAATTATTCCCTGCTTTCTACTCAGGTTTTTCACTTTCCCTGCCTTTTGTCTTTGTTTTTTTTTTTTTTATCCTTCATTTAAATTTCTTGCTATGTACATACTTCATAATTTATCCACAAATTTTAATCATTTTCCAACTATCATTCTATTTTAATTATTTTTCAATTTATCATTCTCATGAATATTCATTCAAGTAGATATTGACGTCTAAATTGAGGGAAATAGCCTTATGCATAACTAATTAGAACCTGACCTAATTATTAAAAAAGTAAAATTTGAAACAAAATAATTAAATGGTGTTAAAATTCAATGTTTTTTGTCGTCCTTAAAAAATTCCTTTATTTTCCAATTTAGAAATCTGCACCAAAATTTGGAAGTCTTCAAGCTTTTTTATTGAAGATGTCCAAAAAAAAAACATTTATTGTTAGTCAACGGACCTTGACAAATTTTTTAAATTAACATAAATATTATTCGTTTATTATTATTATTATTATAAAGGAGAAGTTATGATTCACGACTCTTAAGAGAGGAGAGAGGGGACATTAACACCTTTGTAAATTATAAATAACTTGGTAATTATACAGTGTAGTTATTATTTCTCTTATATATATATAATTGGATTATATAATAATCCTTAGAAAGAAAAAAATAAAAGAGTAAGAGGGTTTTTGTGTAATTTTCTTTTACAAATAGTATAATTACTTCAATATCCTTAAAATAAAAAAATTAAAGGATAAGTCAAATAATTATTTTAATATCTTTTTCATGTTTCTTTTTTTATAGTCTATTTGTATTTGTATTAAGAGTAAATTATTATTTTAAAAAATAAAAAATAATAATAGAAAAGAAAAAATTATTGTTGTGCGATCAAAATTTCTCATCCTCTTTGCAGTCTAAAGCATAGAGGTGAAGCTATTAGAATAACACACGTTGCTTAAATCATGATATTTAAAATGATTAAATTTTTTTTTCTCCCTTGAATTTCTCTCTCCTCTTCTTAAAATTCATATCAGGTTAAAACAAAAATTATCCTCCTCTCTATTTTACCTTTTAATTATACTTATCTTTATTTTAATTGATCTTTATTTATTTTAAATTACTTTTTAGTTTTTTAATTATATCCATTTCCATCTGATTTTGTTTAGTTTTTATATTAAATAAAATATTCAATTTTTTTAATATTTTTTAATTCTTTTCTTGATTTTTTTTTTCTTTTTAATTTTTTCCGTCAACATTTTATTTCATTTACTTTTTTTTTTTTATCCAGTTATGATCATGTTCTTTTTTCATCTTTTTCTTAAATGTTTTTTCTTTCAATTTTTTTCATAAACATTTTATTTCATTTATTTCTTCTTCTTCTTTTTTTGATTTTGATCATGTTTTTTTTTCTTTCTTTTCTTAATTTGGTTTTGTTTTACTTTCAATTTGTCCATCAACATTTTATTTTATTTGTTTTTATTTAATTTTAGTCCTTATTCTTTTAATTTTTTATCATTTTCTTAATTTTTTTCTTTCAACATTTTCTTTCATTTGTTTTTTATTTAATTTTGATCCTCATTCTTTTAATTTCTTCTTTTATCCTTTTCATAATTTTTTTTTAATTTTATCCCTCAACATTTTATTTTATTTTTCATTCAATTTTAATCCTCATTCTTTCAATTTCTTTCTTTATCCTTTTCTTATTTTATTTTATTTTTTGATTAAGCCTATCATTATTTTCTTTCACTAATTTTTATATCATATTTCGTCATCATTGTTTTAATTACTATTTACTTTATTTTTTATTCTTTGATGGTTAAAATGTTTTTTGAAGATTGTTTTCTTTCTTTTTTGAGGGATCTCGATCTCCTAATCAAGGTTGTTGGTTTCAAAAATTAACCTGATTTAACTATAGATTTTTTTTTTAATTTTATCTTTTGATATTAGGCTATTAGACCTTGAACTTTTAATTTTTTTCTCCTTTCGTTCCTCTAAGGTTATCTTGAGTCGTGAGTTAGACAAATTAAATTAAGTTCTTTAGTTTTTTTTTTTTAATTTTATTCTTCGGTCTTGAGATTTCTTAATTTTTTATGCTTTTTATTTTTATAAAATTATCCCAAGTTATAAGTTCATTATGTTAATCCAAGGTGACTCAAATGTTTTTTTTAAGTTATTTATTTATTTATTTAACTTTGATCCTTTTTTCTAAGTTATTTTTTATAAAATATTTTTTTATTTTAATCTCATTTCATGAGTTATTAGTAAAGTAAATCCAAATTAACTTGAGTTTTTTTTCTTCCACATGTCTTTTTTTTAAATTGTTTTTTTAATTTTATCATTTGAAATTACCTTTCTTCAGCCTTGAATTTTTTTAATTTTTTTAATTTTTTTTGAATTATTTCAAATCATGAATTAATTAAGTTACCTTGAATTTGAATTTACTGGAGTTATTATCTTTAAATATCTTTTATTTTTTTATGTAAAAAAAATGATCGACCTCAAAATAATAATAAAAACTAATTCGTAAGTTTTGACGGAAAATTGAAAACCGTCAACTCATCCCAGGGGTCTCGTGTTAAATTTCTTGATATTGTTTTGGCCAGCCCCTTGGTATTCTTTAAAGCACCCAAATTGCAATAAAAAATAAGTTTTAACGGAAAATTGAGTTGCATTCTTCATGAAAAAAGAAGAAGAAGAATAATCTTCAGCAGGTGGATCTAATTTCTGTCTAAAAGCATAGGAAGTGAAAGCCGTCTTACTGGAGGTATGGCTTTCAATCTTTAGTTGATAGAAAGCTTGCTCCCCTTGTTTAATTCAGAAAATAAAAGAGACAATAATTATCCTGTGGATGTTGCATATATTTACATAAATTATTTTAAGGATGTTTCTTTATGTAATGGATCCAATAATTATTCAATTTCAAGTCTTCTGTCCTCTCCGATGATCACAGATTAAAAGGGTTTTTTATCTTCATAGATTTCCAGCTTAAACAAGGGAGTGTTGGTGTAGTAGGAAATGGACAACTCATTTCTCTTGAACATGTGGGAGTAGGCCAGAATGAGCATTCAAATGCCGAAAGAGAGACATCATTGCTAGCTTCTAACTCTACTGCCGCGGAGCCTAAAGCGCACACACTTGCTTCCAGTCAAACAAGCAAGTCTACAAATTCCAAACATGTTTCTTGGATGGGGAAGAGAAAAATAATGATCAAAGATGCGAAAGACAGGAATCCTCTAGTGGCCCTACATTATTTCATCTTCAGTGTCAAAAGAACTCCCCTGGCCATAATTTCGGCATCTGATGCAGGAAAGTCATTGACCACTAGCAAGTACTGTTTTGGCTAGATTACAAAGATCCATTATTGAAGACTTCAATCATCTGAGAAACATGAGTATCCTGTTACATGAGGACAGAAAAGGGTACAAGAAGCAAGGATAACAGATATTTGCTTACAATATTATTGAGATGATTATTTTTTATAATTACCATTGTCGTGAGGTCTTGAACTGGATGCAAGATCAAGCCCAGAGTCTGCATCCCTCGGTTCCCACTCACCAAAGAAATGGTGCAATGGCATCTGGGTTTCAGGTTCTTTCTCCAACTTGGTTGACCTTGTAGCTGATGACTTGATAATATCAGTGCCCAAAACAAAGCAATGGTGCCCTGGTTGTTGCTGCTCTTCTTTAGAAGTATTAGCAAAGCTTTGAAACTGTGACTGCGAGTAACCTTTGTAGGAACTCATTGTCAATTGATTGTATGAATCTTGTACCCCTCTTGCACTCCCTAAAGCATCTGGGAAGAAAGCTCTCTCGTCCACATACTCCCTTATTCCATGAGAATACCTTTGTAATTAATGTAACGAAAATTAAATTTAAACCATGAAACCAAAAGGAACCGAGATATATGAGCAACGGATTTGTTTTCATAACTTACACACACCTATACTCTTTATCAGCATGAGGAGAAGATCCACAGTCCAAAAACAGGTTATGAGTGGTGCTGTTTTGAGGTGAAAAACAAGAACCAGCTGGAGGACCAGAAGATGAAGAATGAGGATAAAGGAAGGTGCTGCGGCTAGAATCTTGATGGGCATAAATTTCAGATTCCATAGATGAAGGAAGGTTAGAGAAAGAATAGGAGGAACTGGAGGGCGAAACAGTGTTGTTATAGAGGTTTCTGTTGATTGATGTTAAGGGAATTGCTGCAGCCGCTGCTGTTGTAGTAGTTGATGCAAGTTCCACAGGCTTTCTTGAACGATTCCTGCCTCTGTGCATGTGCCGCTCACAGTACTTGGAGTCTGGGTATACTTCTTTTGAGCACCTCCATTTCTTTCCATCCGTTCTTCTGCACCTTCCTGGCTCTGGGTCTGCTTTTCTGCCAACACCCGCCTGAAAACAAACCCACCCAGCTGCAAAAACACACATTCCCAACTTTCTTCTGAACACCTTTTTTTATTATTAAAAGGAAAACAACATTCAAAGAAATAAGCACAGATCAGCTTACTAGGTTGATGAGGAAAGAGTCTTGATGCCAAAGAAGATTCCAAGCTTCTTTTGACAGAATAGAGGAGTTCCGGCGGGACAGGGACACCAGAGACCATGTATTTGTAAATGAGAGCTTGGTGTTCAAGCTCATGCCATTGAGTTGCAGTAAAAAGAAGGCTATTTCTGGCACTTGTTGTGTTCAACATATTTGAGTAGCAAGAGAAGCCTAAAAGAACCAATTAAAAGGATTAGCAAGTTGTCAATTATAGAGAGATTTCAGAGACAAAAGAAGGGTTTTTTTTTTTTTTTTTTGTTGCTGTAGTAGTTGTTCTAGTTGGGGCTGATAGTTTTGAAATGTATTATCCCATAGTCCATTGCTAACAGAATCTTCTTCTTTGCATGAATAAAAACTAATGGCTCTGATATATAATACTGCTGCAACGTCCTCCCTCCCTCTAGTACTTAATGAGTCTTCTCCTAATATGACTGCACCTCTGCTGCTGCTGCTACTGTTAACCTTGTCTCTGACATCACTGCATAAATCCATAAACAAATGTACAAACAAAGTATAAAAATCTGAAAACAATTAAATATTGAACAATTGGGTTAGCCCTACAAGACCTTTGGTTTTGACATGGAAATGAGTGCCTTGTCTATATATTATGTGAATCTGCAAATAATCCATTAATCTTTTCCATGTTGTTGTAAGACAACTAGACTCCATGCTTGTGTCACATATACACCTGTTGATTTGAATGTAAGAAGCCAAGGCCTGACTTTAGTCACCATTTCTTTTTTTTTTTTTTTTCAGTTTTCACACACAGACCTTGAAGATAGTGGATTAAGGGTCGAGTTCATACATGATTGTAAAAATTAGTTGCAAGACATAGAGTGTATATATATATACTAACCAGTTCACTTGAAAAATTATTTCTCGTATATATGAGCGCGTGATCGATTCTCCCATTTCAAGTTTTTGTTGATAAATTACATGTTTATGCACAAACCATTCATACTATAGTATCAGTCAGAACTATACAGTCTCTTCATAGCATTTCTCCCAATAAAAAGTCGAGCAATTCTGCAACTAGTTGACAGGTGAACCAAGAAATGTTTCATATCGTCAGCCATAAAATGAAATTATTTATTTGCGTTGCAACATGGAAGAGGCAACGGGCGGGGAAGATGCAATTCGATAAGCACAACAGTGAAGATGCCATAATAGTGCAATGGAGAAACTACTGGTTAGAGGGAGGTATAAACTTGTTTGGTAGCAGGTTGAAGAACCTTTTTCTTCCTCCGTTGGAAAATGGCAGCAAGTGGCAGGGAAGTGCACCTGACTATGAGGAAAGGAGGGGGAGGAGAGGTGGGGACAGTTTACACTTCTGCACAGTGCTTTTGCTCTGCCCCAAAACACATGCCTGCCCTCCATTACTGTGCCTCAACTAACTCAGCTTTTCTCATTCATTAACCCAAAGTTTCCAGAATTAGATTTTCTTGAATATATCTCTTTCCATATTAGCCACTCACCCCTCCTTCACAATGAACAGTGAAGAACCATTATTTGTGGGGTTGCCAGCAAGTAATTTGCAGTTTCACATATATAGGTCTCGTGCTCACCTGGGATATTTTCTTACCTGGAGCCAGGCCTTGACGATTCTGTCACATCCCTGAAAACAACAGTATTGTTTCTTGAAACTCCTTTCGCACCTCTATGATTACTGTATTATCATTTGAAAAGTCCCCATTATAATCTGGCTCCTCTTTGACCATCTTATTTTATATCATTGTTTCTTTCTTATATCATGCTGTTTTTTATGGGTGCCCATTCAGGCAAATAGTTAATTTATTGATTATTTTGTGAGATATCAATAGGATTTCTGATTTTTCTTAAAAAAAATTAAATTATTATTAGCCCATTTACTTACCACCAAGCAGAACAAGATCATACAAAATCCCTATTCACATCAAAACCAGGACAAAATGCACTACACACCAAACTTCAAAATCCATTTCTGCTAATTCTACCTAACCAAAAAAACCTCTTCCCTCACATTTCATTTCCAGCAAAAATGGCAATCTTAATTCGTCCTCTGAGAAAATCCTAATCAATCCTCCCAAAACCCTAACCCCCGAACAAAATCCCATCTCTCATCTTCTTTATAACAACAAAACAGATGAAACAAACCCTTTTTTTTTATCTGTTAAGCCCAAAACTCAGCAAGAAGAACTACATGTTAGAAATGCTGAAATCTGCTTTCAAAGATAACATTTATCAGGCTCATTCGTAAAGATGTCCAGTATAGCTTGACCATTCCCCTCCTAAACAAATACTTACTTTTCTTAATTTCTTCAACATATCTGTCTGAGTTTTTATACGTATATTTCTTATCTTTTTAGTTATTTTTTTATTTTAAAAATATTTTTAAAAAATAAATTTTATTTTATTTTTTCTTTATTTTAAATTTTATATATATATATATATATATATATTCATACTATTTTGACGTGATGATATTAAAAATAATTTTTAAAAATAAAAAAATTATTTTGATATATTTACAAATAAAAAATATTTTAAAAAATAATTACTATCTCACTCCCAAGCATCTTCTAAATGAGATTGAAAATTTGCTTCTTTTTTTTTTTTTAAATTAGTGGTGAAAAAAGTGCAAATTTAAAGTTTTTTAAAAAATAAAAAATTATTTTTTTAAAAAAAATAATGACTACGTTTTGACCGTGTTATGCTAGTTGAATGAGTCAATTCAAATTTTTAATTTGGTCAACTAGATTGTTTTTTAAAAAAACTAGTTTTAATATAAGATTACACAATAATCATGTTAAACTGAGATACCAAAACAATTGACATATGAACCCCTATCCAATAATTAACAAATTACAAAGGAGAAGTATAAGAAATAACATCACAAAGTTAATTATATTTTGATAAATTTAATTGTTATTTGTTTAAATAAAGATAAAAACATGTTACTCTAAACAAAACACTAGTTTTAATATAATGTAGAGCAATATATCTAAAAATTCCTAGTCAAATTTCAATATAATTTAACAATCGGACATAGAATTATTTTTAATGGTGTAAAACTAGACAATATGCATAATTATGTTAGAATTCAAATTTTCTTATTGAACATTTTTTTAGATCATATAATTTATCTGTGTCTTTAGGATAATTTGTCTTTGAATCACCAATATGTATAATAGATGTGTTTATAGGCCTCTTATTTAAGTCTTCCAAACTCTTTTCTTTCCAACACTTGCCTTCAATAATTTTGTATGAAAGTAACAATTTTTTTTTTTTTCATCCTTTCAACATAGTTACTCCTCCATCTCTAAAGCTTGTCATTCATAAATTAGTTCCTTTAACTAATCAAACTCTCTCTTTGTAAATAAACGACACAAATAAGAAAATAAGATAGAAAATAAGTAAGATATGGTATAAAAACACTATAGAATAGGAATCCTATCCTAAAATTTCAAATCTAAAACAATAGATAACCAACTAATTTTAATAAAATCAAACCTGAAAACTTTAATCTACCTTGTTATGTTATTCAAATGAATCAACCTCTATAAACTCGAATTGCGATCTAATTGTTTCTTTGTTTTTCTAATCTAAAAAATATACTAGACATAAATAAATAAATTGGCTATTTTTTTATCGAAAGACTCAATAACACAAACCGAAAAGTAGAAAGAGAAAAACTCGGACCATAAGTGTTTGGCACTAAGAAACTTGAGTTGAAAGCAAAGAAAGAGAAACTAAAATGTTTGAAATGAAATTAAAACAAAACACAAAGAAATAAATGATATAACCTAATTGTCAGAGGATAGCTCTAATACCAATTAATATGAATTAGAAACCCATAAGCAAGAATGATACAATTCTAAAAGTTAAAAATCAAATTTGATAAAAAGAGTGTGACATAACAATTACCTTAAACCGAGACAGAAATATTATTGGAATATGAACTCCCACTCAATGACTAATGCATAATGAACAAAAGGTATACGAAAGAATGACACAAAATCAAAACATGTTACTCCAAGCAAAATATCAATTTTATTCAATAATCCAAGACTGTAAAATAGATTTAAGTGCAAGCTCAATAATCATATTTATACTAGGTAAAAACATTCTAAATAATTCTAGATAAATAGTAAAAGAGTATTGATTTAAATAAAAAAAATTTAAATCAACTAGAAAAATAATGTAATCCCTGCATAGTAAATTTTAAACCTTATTGCAAGACTTTATCAATGTTATATTGATATGAAATTTTAACTCAATATAAAACAAGACTACATCTAGAAATTTCTAATAAAATTTCAGTCTGATCCAACGGTCGAATCAAATATTGTGCTTGTTAGTGTAAAATTATGCAATAGAAAAAATCAACACAAAACTAACTTTAATTCTTCTAAATAAATATGAAAATCTTTGTAATAGCTGGTATATTTAGTTTCTTTATAAAAAATGAAAGCTCCTATAACATTCTACCGTTAATAACACTAGCTCTTTGTTCCTTGTGTGACTACAATAAATAAATAAAAACTTTATAAGAAAAATATTTTGAAACATTAAAAAAAAATCATTGTTATACTCAAAAATTATGTTCCTATTCATTAAAGATCATTCCGGAACTAAACAAATTCAAAAAATAATTTGTTGAATATCATTGTATCATTAGTAAAAGAATTATTTTCAAATAAAAAATTCACAAATCAAAAGTACTTTTTATCCTATACTAGGATGTATTTTTAAACTTGGATTAATTTGAAATTTTAAATTAATATATCTAAAAACTCATTATAAAACTTCATTCCAATCCAATGATAAAATTAAAAATTATAATTCATAACGTAAAACTAGATAACAAAATATAATTATACTATAATATAATTTTTTTTTATTTAATCTAGGGCAGTATCGAATTCAGGCTCCAGATCACTGAATATCAAGTCCAAGTCAAGTTTCCTGGCCAATCTGGGGGAATACAGAGCCCCGAATGTTACCTAATTAATAAAGACGTCTTTGCCATCCAAAGGTTATACGATTACTTTGCTGTGAGTTTTAATTCCTTTTCATTTAATGACCGGAATATTTTGTACTGGTTTTTGCATAATTAAAATTTTTGGGTCCGAAAATCTTCTTTTTACAGTTTTTCGTTGGATCTCGAATCAGATCATAACCCCAGAAAAACTTACTGTTAACAAAGGGAAAGAAAGTGAATTACAGGTTTGCCGTTAATCTATTAGAACCCTAGGCAGGCTCCAAACTGGAATGACCTAAAACAATCCCCAAGGGCTAATATTTGTTTCGTAGGCACTTGAAGGGCGCTCATGGGTCACTTTGCAATTTGTATATCCAGAGATGTATTGTATAATATATTTTGATGAATTAATTGTCCAGACATAATGCCAGCTAATAAATAGATTGTCACTCAAAAAAGAAAAAAAAT